TATATATATATATATGCATATACTTTTATGAAAATTTGTTCTTAATCTTTTGACACTTTATTCTTTTTATGTCCTACGTCTTTGATTTTAATTCTCGATGCTTTTAATTTTGTTTCTAAAATGTTATTAAATTTAAGTTTAAAAAAGGCACTTCTCCTTTTTTATATTTGATGACTGATCTGTTTAAAATGCTGAATAAAATGCACATAACCTATCTCGTCATAAGTCTAAAAATTCCAGGCTTGCCTTAGTCCTGTTCCTGATTTATATTCTAAAATTTTATTAAGTGTGAAACAATTTATAGTGGATTTTTACATGCATACTTTTCTCAAAAATAGGAAATCAATTTTAAGCTCAAAACTCTGGCATTGTTTTGCTCTACATGAAATATTTCAGCAATTAAAAAAATAAATTTTTGACATGAAAGTCACAATTTTTGGAATAATTAAAGGTTTGGATTAAAATTAAGCTAAATGTCTAAGGATTCTTGATTTATCCTAGTCCTATTCCTGGTTTATATTCTAAAATTTTATTAAGTGTGAAACTATAGATAGTGGATAGTTACATGCATTTTCTCAAAAATAGAAAGTCTTGTATTAACATTATTTTTCTTATCAACTTTATTAGGAGTCTATGAAATTAAAAATAGACTCTAGAATAAAGGAATTTTTCGAACCAAAAAATTTTTAAGATTGTAAATTAACATTATTAAACTATTCGAATAGACCCTCGCATACGTACTTTTCTCGAAAATTATAAAGGTATCTTATGAATTTTATTTCAATAACCAACTTTAAAAGTATATTTAACGCAGAAAACTAACCTTAGATGGTAAAATGAATTACTTTTCTTGAGCTGCAAACTCATCATTTTGTCTCCTTACTTTTGAAAAGTTAAAACTATTTATCACCAATTTCTATTTCTGTTGAAAAGTTTTGAAGTTTAGAGTGCGCCCATCTATTTTTTAGTAATCCTTCTTCGATGCAGCCCCTGTGACCAGCTGAAAATTTTTTCTAAATCCTCTAATCCTAAACTCCCCTTTACTAAGCCGAGATAAGTTTTTATTTTTTGGAGAGTTCTTCAATTTGGATTTTTATTTCGAATTCTTTAAAATTTCATAAATGAATTTCTTAAAAGAGTTTGAAGTCTTATTTTGTTTTCGGAATAGTGTCATTTTTAAGAATGGAAAAAAAAGTTAAAAAAGACTATGACTTGTTTATATTTCAGCAAAACAGTACAATAAAGCTGTTTTTTGAAAATCCTGTTGTTATACGAAATAATGCTTTATAGCAAATAAGATTCTGTTTTTATAACTGTTAAGAGTTCGTAACAGTTATGCGTGAATTTAGAGTTAATTTTTTTCATCTTCGGCTAAAGTATTCTACACTTATAGTGAAAATGGCGCAATATACTTATGGAGAAAAGCCATAGTTTGAATGAAAATGAATATTTTGTGTTTAAATTTTAATTATTAAAAAGTTACTTCAAATCTTTGTTTGAATTCATCACAATCTACAAAAATCTAAAATTACTGATTTGTTTGATTTTCATCACAGCAATAAATTTTCGCTAGATCAGAAATTTTCAGAAAAAGGTTAATATTTTTCTTAAATATTTAAGCTGTTTGTTCGTCTTAAAGTTCGGAGAATATTTTACAACGAAACGGTTTATGCAGTTTAAAACTAAAGCTTTACGTTTGGTTTAAGGTACTTAAACTATAGCTTTTTTATTTTTCTTGGTGTAAGAGCACGAAGGAAAACAATAAGGAAATCTATAGAATAAGTGAAATTATGCTATTAATAATTTAAAAATTTTATTCAAATTGCAAATCACCAATGCAAAATTTTCGCATTGAGAAGTAACTAACTCATTTGTAAAATTTGGGGAATGCTCGTCGCTAATTTTAAATTTTTTGATTCAAGTGAACAATAATATTTAACTCTTTGAAGTAGAATTTTTGTTACACATACTTGTTAAATTTTTTTCATAATTGTGTATTAATATAGGTCAAAATAAATAAAAAACAAAGGCGTCTTTTTCTGCGTTAAAGGTAAAATCTTCCAAGCACGGCTTACTTTGAAACAATATTTTTTTTTAAATTTGTACTTATTTACAATTAATTTAGATCTAGGAGAAACAGTTATTTATCATTCTTTAACTTACAAAATCAATTATTGATAAATGTCTGAATATGAACGAATTTTTTTTCCCAACTACTTTTTTCGGATTTTTAATTTTAATACAAATATAATTACGATAACCTAATAGGGTTTTTAAAAAATATTATACTATATTTATAAATAAGAAATACCAAAATGTATTTTTTCTCAAGCGTCAGAAATGTTTTTATTAAAAGGACACCTAAGTTTCATATGCGTCAAAGGGTTAAGAGAACTTAGTTCAAACCATATCAAGTGCTTAAAATTAAGCTAAAATATAAAAATATTCGAATGAGTGCATTTCTTGCATGTATTCTCTTAATCGTACAAAGCCCGCCGGTTCTTAAAATCATTTGTTTTGCGGTTATTTAATTTTATAAAGTGGTTGATTTTATAAATTAGTATATCAATAATTAGAAATGAAAATGGCTTTCAAAATTTAACTTTACAAATACACTAAAACCTGAATCAAATATCACATTCATGCTTTATCTTAATTTTTTTAATGTACAGTGCTCAAGAAAAAAAAAACGAAAGAAAAAAAAAAGAAAAAAAACGAATCACCCAGAGTAACTTTTGATCTAATGATAGGATATTCAAGTTCTAGGACTCAATCATAATGGTTCGAGGGGGTGACATCAAATATGCTAATTAATATGCGCAGACGATATTTTAAGTAATAAAATAAACATACCTTTTCTCAAGGGATTCGGATTTCTGTTCCCCAAAATATAGGGGATTGCCGCATTCTGGGAAATATGGTCCCAATAGTTTGGTCAGGAGAGGGGTCCAAAGCTTTGACCCTTTAATGTTAATTTTACTTTCTGCGTAATTAAGAAAACTCGAGACTCGAAAACTATCTCGAAAACTTTTTAAGCGAATTAAAAAATTTTTGCACACAATTATAATTGTAATTGGCAAAATCAACCGTGTTTCTGACTCTATGGGAGCCTCAAAGTCTCAGCAACTCTTACTAAAGCGTTTTGGTAATGATTTTGGTAAAATTAGCAATAAATGACTTTATAAATTGTGGATAAAATTTGATAAATGTGGTAAAATATGTTCACTTCATCATGATGGATTAAAGAAAGGCATAAAAACTATTCCTTTTTTAAATTTGTTTTTTAGCTTTGCATTTGTTGCTAAATGCATGGTAATGAAAACTGCAATTTTAAAAACCAGAATTCCGATAAATCATTTCCATATTAAGAAAAAAAATTACAAAACGAATAGTTTACGTACCGTATATTTGGTTTTTATTGCCAAAATTGTGGTGTTTTGCCAGAAATGTCATTACGAAACAGAATAGCAATTTTGCTAGAATTTTTCTCCGTCAAGAAACTAGCTCAAAATTGTCCATCTACTCCTTTCTGTTTCTTGATGAAACATTTAACGGAATAGATATTTTTTACTTATATGGTGTATGCCATTAGATCGTTAAATAAACGTTTTAGTTCTATTTAGTTGATTTATTTTGTCTTGACTGAGAGGGTTAATGATGAATGAGTGATGATCATTTACATTAAATAAGGTTGGGCATCTAATAACTCTATTTAAGATATAAATGGTTTTTATTTTGTAAAAAAAATGATACAAGAAGTTGAATGTAAAACTTACCACTATTTATCTTTTTTTAACTCAGACCTTTCAATTTCTCCAATTAATGTACTTCACACCAGTAACTTTGTTTCCTTGATTCAAGGGGGGCAAAATGGAAGTTATCTGCTTGCTGGATACTTTTCGATACTTTTGAAAAATTAGAAAATTCAAAATTTTAAGAGGCGAAAAATACGATTTCTTTTAATTTTAAAAGCATATGTTGCAGATTCGACTTCAAAAAGTAGCTGATTTTAAAATTTTGTGATTTTATTAGTGGTGATCACTACATAGTGTTAGTCAGGAAATTGTGG